CGAACAAGCATGCCATCCGCTCTCGGCGCGAGGATGAGTTAGGTTCCGCTAGGATGCGCGGTGAAAGCAAGTCCTGGTGCGTAGGAGAGAGCACGGGGCAAAGCAGGGAAAAAAAAAAAAACGAGGAAGTTCGGAAATGCACACACACGCACAGGATCTGACGTGCAGGCTAAACACAGCTAGCTCGCGAAACATGCTAGTGCCGAGCAACTGGCTAGATCTTCGTGGTGGGTTGGGTTCTCGGCCAACATGTTGCTGTTTGTCTTTATTTTGTTGATCGCGCGGGCTGCATAGCTCATAGCTCGCTCCCCCCTTTCAAACAAGGAACCGGTCTGATGAAGTGTGATTGGTTTATGTGGTTCTCTGAGAACTTCCATCTGGAAGATCCAGGACACTTTTCGAAATTTTTTCCTATAGGAAATTCGACCGATTGGCACCCCTAACGGTGTTCAACACCCCGGGGACGACGAGATTTCGTCGCCGGTATGCTGCCGTGATTACGCGTACGTAACACATTTGTTGATTTCCCGTAATTACGGGTACGTACCGGCCGGGAAACGCCGTAACCCGCATCCCTGGTTCAGAACGCGACCAATAACAAACCAACCATTGGATTCGGAAAATAGTTGAGACCACACTTGCAGCCCTGGTACTACAGTTGTATATTTTATTTTCCTATTGGTACTGCTGGGTGTGTTGTTGTCTTTACAGCAGTAGGACCCGTCCGGTCTCTGCTCAGTGCCTTCAAGCATCCGTACCGGTTCAACTGACGTGGACGTAGTTCGGACGTCACAACTATACTCAGAATGCGTGCATGATTTTTGCGGTGTTTGTGTACAGGGCGTTGTGTTCGCGTGTGCAAAGTGCGAAGTACCGTGACGTCGCCCTTCCCCCGCCAGATTAGCCACCTTACGACTTGGCGATTGTAGTAGGTGATACATAAACACAATTGCACAGGAAGTATTTTTTCACCATGTGTTATTGCTCCCCGGTTTGAGCCCTATACCCTAGCAACCGTAACCGTAACCGTAACGTAACCGTCTCCCATACACCGTCGTCACCGTCGTCGGTTGGATAGGTGCTACATGATAGGTTGGCGTGTTGTATCAACCTACGGTAAGGGTAAAAAACGCGGTGTGTATTCCGGCATGGAGACCACCAATTCGGTAAGCGCTGCTAGCTTTTTCCGACAGAGTAGAACCACAGCAATCAACCAACCGTACACCTGGAGCGAGTCGCCCCCCGCTTGAATGGCACACACGTTTGTTGTGTGTGCCACAAACGCGGGGAGTGCATGCAAGGTTAAAGGGGACACCATCTGAGTCTCACGACCCCCGGGGTCAATGGGAGCGTTGTTTACGTCGAAAGATGACAAGATGCGCCTTGCCGACCACAACCACTGCGCCAGAAAGAAAAAGTATGCAAAGCGGCGGGCAAGTCGTGGAAATGTTCTGAAATTTGATCAAGACAATTTTGGTGAGCTAGAACACACCCTGATCCACGTTACGCCATCAATCCAATGATTCCTCTGCGCGATATGCTATCACAACACGATACAGCCAAGACTGCGGCCGCGCCAAACGGTAATGTTACTTCTTCCATAAAACGCAAATTATGGGTGTGCCCCTCCCTCTACCCTTACCTATCTCAAGTCTCATGAGTGCTCGAAATATTGTACACGCAGTGTTTCGCGTCATTCGCCATCCCTTCCCTTCGCGTCCTGATAGAACAGGAGCGAACTCGTTCAAGACGAGAGTGGACCCCAGCCTCTGTGCCCTTGCAAGTTCTTGGCGTGGCTGAACTTATGCAAGCGGCCCCCGGCAGTTGAAGGGTTCGTTGCATACCCGCCGACACAGCCGCCACAGCGAGCCTCGCAGAGTCGTTCCCGCACGAGAGGTTTCAGGAAGGGCTTGTCTCGTCTGCTACGTGTGCATGGGGCACTACTGTACTATAGTTCTGAAAACATTACTTCAACTACGGGAGTTCCCTTATACCATGTCCTTTACAGCGGGGACGACTGTATGAAGAAGCGCATAGTTCCGCCACAGCGAGCCTCGCAGAGTCGTTCCCGCACGAGAGATTTCAGGAAGGGCTTGTCTCGTCTGCTACGTGTGCATGGGGCACTACTGTACTGTAGTTCTGAAAACATGACTTCAAATCGGGGAGTTCCCTTACACCAAGTCCTATACAGCGGGGACGACTGTATGAAGAAGCGCATAGTTCCGTGAGGCGCCGCTTGCAGCTGTCGCATGCGTGCCCAAAGTCCAAAGACTGTGAAAACCACCATACGGCTATTCCGACGTGTCTGTATGTATGTGTACACGCATCTCGGGCCGTGCGTTCCGCATGATGTGCGTCGCTTGTGCCCAACGCAAGCGACGGTACGCGCGATAGAAGGCGGGGCTCCGACTTGGTGTCCACTCAACTTCTTCTAAATTATGCATAGGCATTTGTGTGTCTCCATCACCGGTATACCTGAAGGAGGAGGAAGGGGGGGGGAGGACATTGCTGGACCGAGTTCGGAGGGCGGTGTGGGGGATGCTATATGCCGACGATGCCGGCATTGTGTCGAAGTCCGCCGACGGCCTGGCGAGGATGATGACCATTATCGTGGAGGTGTTCCGGGAGTTCGGGCTGACGGTGTCGGAGAGGAAGACGGAGACCCTGGTGATGCGGGTGAAGGAGAGACAGCGACCGCCGCCGCCGCCACCGCCGGTGCTGACCATCGAAGCAGCGGGGCAAAGGTACGCACAGACGACCGAGTTCCGATACCTGGGCGGCCTCGTCAACGAGCAGGGCGACCTTACCCGAGAGATCAACCACAGGAGCAAAGCAGCGTGGGCGTGCATTAAGCGATACGCCACGGAGCTCTTCGACCGACCGGGAGCACCGTTTCGCCTCAAAGCCCGCCTGCTCCAGGCGGAGGCAGTGGAGGCACTGCTATACGGCTGCATGACATGGTCCCCACGCCGCGGCCACTACTGGCTGCTGCAGACGACACACTACCGTCTGCTCCTGCGAGTTATCGGCTACCGGCGCAAACGAGGCACCTACCGGCAGCTGTCATACGCCCAGGCGCTGAAGAGGGTCGGCTGCCAGAGCGTGGAGGCCACTGTCCGTCAACGGTGCCTGCTCTTTGCGGGGGCCGTGGCAAGACA